TCAGGGACTCTGTCTATCAGACCTAATTCATTAAATCTATTTGTTACGTCTACTGTATAATCATCAGGGATATGATTTAATTCATACCTGAATGGCCTGATGCTTTCTCCTACTTTCTAAATTTTGCCATGAGAAGCTCATGATCTGAGCCACAGTCAGCTCCTGGTTTTGTTTTTACTGACTGTATAGAGCTTCTCCATCTTTGGGTGGAGAGCCAAATATCACATAGTCAATCTGATTTCTGTGTTGATCATCTGGTGATGTCCATGTGTAGAGATGTCTCTTGGGTTGTTGGAAAAGAATATTTGCTATGACCATTGTATTCTCTTGACATAATTCTACCAGCCTGTGTCCTGCCCTCATTTTGTACTCCAAGACCAAACCTGGTTATCTTTTGACTTCCTACTTTAGCATTCCAATCCCCCATTATGATAAGGACATCATTTTTTTGGTATTAATTCTAGAAGGTGTTGTAGGGTTTCATAGAACCAGTCCACTTCAGTCTCTTAGGCACGAGCGGTTGGGGCATAGACTTGGACTACTGTGATTTTGAATGGTTTGCCTTGGATTCGAACTGAAATCATTCTGTCATTTTGGGGGTTGTATCCCAGTACTGCTTTTCCTATTCTTTTATTGGCTATGAACGCTACTCCATTTCTTCTGAGGGATTCTTGCCCTTAGTAGTATACCTGATGTTCATCTGAATTAAATTCACCCATTCCTGTCCATTTTAGTTCGCTGATTCCTAAGATGTCAATGTGCAGTCTTGTCATCTCTTGTTTGACCACTTCCAGCTTGCCTTGATTTTGATCTTACATTCCAGGTTCCTATGGAATCTTTAGAGCATCGGACTTTACTTTCACCACTAGATACTTCCCCAGCTGAGCATCCTTTTGGCTTTGGCCTAGTCGCTTTACTCTTTCTGGTCCTACTAATACTAGCCCTCTGCTCTTCCCCAGTAGCATATTGGACACTTTCCGACCTGAGAGGCTCATCTTCCAGAGTCATATCCTTTTGCCTTTTGGTACTGTCCATGGAGTTTTCATGGCAAAGATACTGGAGTGGGTTGCCATTTCCTTCTCTAGTGGATCATGTTTTGTCACAGCTTTCTGCTATGACGTGTCCATCTTGGATGGCCCTGCACAGCATAGCTCTTAGCTTCATTGCGCTGCACAAACCCCTTTGCCACGACAAGTCAGTAATCCATGAAAGGATTAGTGATTGTTAAGCATGTCTTAATACTTATTATACATAAAGTTATGTATATTGCAACAAATGATAAACTAAGAATTTTTCTAATCCTCCATGTCTGCCAGGGTATATGTTCAATGCAAAACTATCTCAAATCTAATTATGTTTTTTAAATAATCTTTTAATTGCAGACCAATTTCTTTTCAGTCATTTTTTTCTGTTGACTATGTTTGACAGTCTGTATTTTACTTAGCAGATTAAATATTCATATTTTTGTAGGATACAACATGCTCAATTTTTTTTAAGAAAAGTGACATCTGGAAAACATGAATTACACATTTTCTGCAAATTTAGTACAAAGTAGGAAATTTAAGAATATTTTTTCCTCAGAAAATAAACAAGTTTTAAAGTACTTGTATACTTTTGTAAGTATGTTGTATATTTTTATACAATAGCAATTAAAATATGCTTAGAATAATTTAAGTATTTATTATACTATAGCTGCTCTTTATTTCCAATTGTTTTGATAAAATAAGGCTGGATTTCCATTACATCATGCAATAGTGAAGATCAAAGGGTATGAGTAATGTTTTTGTTTTTCCACATGGACTTCTTGAAATTTTAAAAATATTTTGGGGGATCACTTAATCAAAGTGCATAATTCAGATTTTAATAAATATACTTTTCTAATGTAATGAATGTGCATGAAATGAATCATTCATGGAATGAAATGGTTCAAGGAGGATGTGTTAGATCCCTTACATCCTGGGCATAATTTGTTTCAATGCCTCCCTCAGGATGTCACTATAGGGTGTTGCATGCCAGAGCATCTAGCGAGGACAGTTTTTTTCTCTCGTGCCATCACTCTCATGAACACCTAATCCTTACTGTATTGTTTTATGTCTCAGTATATTTAATGTTATATGAGTATAGTATTATTATCCTTCTAACTTTCTCTACTATCCTCTTATTGGTACAATAGTATGATTATTATTAATATGTTGCTTTGAATGTACATTGAGAGTTTCTACACTGGAGTCACATTCCTTGTGTGTCTAATCCAGGGGTCTACAACCTTAAAATCTCAAAGAGCCATTTGGACCTGTTTCCCACAGAAAAAAAACAAAACAAACCCTAGGAGCCACAAAATCTGGGTGGGTGTGGTCAACTTGATGTCACTCATTCCCACCCAATCACATGAACCCCTAGCCATGCCTACGCAGCCACAAAACCATTTCTCTCTCTCTATGTCTCTCCCCGCTCTCTGTATCTTTCTGGCCCTCTCCCCCCTCTCCCCCCTCTCTCCCTCTCTATCTCTCTCCCCCCTCTTGTATCTCTCCTCTCTCTCTCTCTTCCCCTCTCTTTCCCTTTCCCCCCTCTTTTTGTACTTCTCTGTGTCTCTCTGTCCCTCTCCCTATCTTCCCCACTCTCTCCCCTCTCTCTTCCCTCTCCACTTTCTGTGACTCTCTCTCCCCTCTCCCTATCTTCCCCTCACTATCTCTGTCTCTCTGTGTATCACTGTGTGTGTCCCTCTATGTCTCTCTCTCACCCTCTCTGTCTCTCTCTGTCTCTCTCTCTCTCTCTGAAAGCCGTGGCTGGGCCAAGCCAGCAAGCTCTTCTTGGGGCGCTTTGCTACTCCTTTTATTTCTTCTTTTTGGAAATCCGGGCTGGCTGAGGAATGATTGGCAGCAGCAGCAGAGGCTTCCCTTCGGGCGACCATCCTCCTCCTCTCCCCTTCTCCTCTTGAAACCCCCTGGCCGGTTGTGGTGGGGCTGGGAGAGTGCACACATGTGGGGAGACCCTCCTCAACTGGGTGCCAAAGCACAGCAAAGGTGCTTGCGGGATGGGCAGTTGCTCGCTTAAGGCGGGTCTTAACAGGATGCAACAGGACATGGCTTCTCTCCTGCACCAAGGCTCTGGCCGTTGCCTTGCTATGTCATCCCCCACCCCGGCAGTTCTTCATCCGAGCATGTAGAGTGCAAACTCCAGCCCAAAGTGGCAGGAAGTGAAGGCTGCCTTATGCGCAAATGTGGCGCAAAAGCAGGTACAGGGCTGCTTCGCTTCTGCACTCTCCGGTGACCTTCTCTTTCTCCTCCTCCTCCTTTCGTGACCCCTTGGCTGGGCGTGGCTGAGCCAGGAGCGTGTGCACACATGGGGAGAACCTCCTTAAGCAAGCGGCTGCCTTTCACACACGCAGGCGTGTCACACACGCCTTTCCTGCGCTTTGCTGCTCGCTTGAGGAGGGTTTCCCCATGCATGTGCATGCTCCTGGTTCAGCCACAGCCAAAGACACAGGGTCACTCGAAGGGAAGCCTCCACCGTGGCTGGCAATCGTTCCTCAGCCAGCTCGGATTTCCAAAGATATCCAAAAAAGAAATAAGAGGGGCGAGTGGCAAGGGGCGATGGACGGGGCCAACCAGTGATGGCATGAGGAGCCTCAGCAGAGGGCCCAAAGAGCCGCATGCAGCTCCAGAGTCGTGGGTTGTCAACACCCTGTCTAATCACATTTGACCAAATAAAGTATTCTGTTTAAATAACATCAGTTTGTGAAGTTGGATATAATGTTTGTCAGCTTTAGCCTCAGGTCAGTTTCAACATTCTTAGTTCCACACACAAAAACAGGATGATGCTTTCAGCTTTTCTGCTGACCATGTCAATAGAATTGACAAGAATAACACAGTTTATGCAGTGCAGTACTTGTATTAGTAGGGAAAACATAGCACACATACCACATTACAGACACAGAGTTTGTGAAAGAATAGAGAATACTGTTTTTAAATCTCATTTTCAAATTCAAATTAACAAGTTTTAATAATTAAAAAAAGCATAGTTCTTCCTTTGCTTCAGTTGTGATCTGAAAATATATATAGTTGCATGATAAAATGTTAGTTTTAATGCGTATTTTATGCTAGTAGAATATTTATCTTCACATTTTAAAAAATCCTTTTGTATTAGAGTTTGAATATATAAATCCTGAGCACTCTTAATATAAAAATATGTGCTCTAGATCTAAGATGTAAAACAAGAGATAAAAATATTAAAAAATATTGCATTAAGAAAATTTGCTGTGGAATTGTCAACTCAAGTTTCCTATAAAATATATAATTATTTTATATAATCACTAATAAATTATAATTATATTGACTAATAAAATTCAGCAGGAACTGAATTATATAATCACTAATAAAATTCAATAAACGTATGTTTTTTTCTGTATTCTCTATTAGATTTATATTCTGATTTTTATTTAGGAGCTCAGTTCAGATTAACTAGATATGCGGTAGATTGGAATTAGATTGTCTAAAGACACCTGGTTAACTAGTTAGGCCCAGATTGGAATGGAACCCGAGTCTTTAGATTCCTAATCCAACACTTTAATCAACATAGGCTTTAAATTTAAACTTTATCTTTGCCTTGCAACTTCCTTAGCTAAAAACCTCATGGAAAACTCTCCAGATGAATCCGAAGTCATAAATATAAATTGTGATTGGGAAACGGAGATTATATTTCCATCAAAATTAGTAAAACATAAGTTAGTCATGACTACAAGAGGTTTTTCTATTCTAGTCATAGTCTTATTATTAAGGCTGCAATTTCCCACTCACTGAATATATATTATAAATTATACAATAAACATTTGTGCTGTGTCTTTATAAAGTATTATGGTGAAAAATAGTCTATGTGCATTTAAATGTATAGCCAAAATTTTGGGAGCTATTTATACTATATATTTATTTCCAAATAGAATAAAATTTAAACATGAAGTTCCAAGAAGTTTTAGACATATTTTTTTCTTCAATATCTTACAGAATCAACTGGATTACTGATGTTGTTGTTGTGGTCTCTCCAGAGAATATTGAAATAATGAAATCTATTATTAGAAAATATGGCCATGAGCGGACAACGGTAGTAGTAGGAGGACTAACCCGTCACAGATCTATTTTCAATGGATTGAAAGTATTTGTAAAAGGCAATGCATTCTGTGCTCCACTCCAGAAACCAGAAATAATAGTAATCCATGATGCTGTCAGACCATTTGTAGAGGAGGATATTCTTTTTAAAGTGGTTATGGCTGCCAAAGAACATGGGGTAAGTATTATAAAAGATCTGTAATGTTGCACTAACAGCAATATGCAGTTTAGTCTTTATCAACCTTATGTTCTCCAATAATATGCATAACTAAAAATTATTGACTAAGATTTTAAAAAAAATACACAAGGTACAAGTGTTATGTACCCATGGCAACTTTTACTTTGTTTTTCTTGAATGAGTCCCTAATACAAAATGGGCACATTGCTTTTAAAAATGAATAGATCTTAATTGCAGTGTGTAGTAAATCATTAGGAATGGGAACCAGAGAAAAATACCATTGGAAGTTAAGACTCTTGTGCTTGCCTTGTAACCTTTGAATGTTAGCTATATGAAAATACAATTAACTTCAGTAAAATATATTAAAAATTCTTTTAAGGGTTTAAGTCACAATTATATAGCAAAATGTTTTGTTACCTTATCAGATTCCATCTAAAAGTTTAATAAGTAAAGATTGTTTAATTTTCTATAATTTAAATGGTTAAACCAATGAAATACTGAATGTTGAACTTGAATCTATTAATAGGATAACTAAGAAATAAATGCCTTACTTTTGTGAATTTCTTTACTTTATTAGACAAAGAATCAAAGTATGTTACGTATGACAGAAATACTTAACATAAACAGACATAATGGAAATAGTTACTACAATTACCATATTGATTTTTACTTAATCTGTTGCATTTTCACATAGTACATCACAGTAGTGGGTTTCAATTTAGTTTGCTACCAGTTCACTCATACGTATGCGTGCATGTGTGCGTTTGCACATGATGCTTCTGCACATGCACAGAAGCGTCCAGGAGGGTGGGCAGAGCCTGCCGTCGTCACTACTGGTTCGCCCAAACCAGGGCGGACCGGTAACAACCCATCACTAGTACATCAGAACATTCTAAATATTTATCCCAAATCATTTAGTAAATTCCCTTCTCTTCTGCATGAAAAATCATTACTCAGTTAAACTGTTGTAAGGAAGACACCAAAAGCTGGGCTTGTAGAGGGCAGCTAAGCAAGAAGGAGCAAATGAGAGAGGCATTTGATGGGTTCAGAGTAAAATGAATAAAAGAAGAACATGATCAGTGTCGGGGTGGATTTGATTTAAATAAACATGAGGATTGTGGTAATGGGATTTTAAAGTATATTTATCTGCAGAATCAATTTAGAAGAAAATAAGTGATTTTTTATTAAATAAACTTTTGCGCTTTAAGCTTTTTTCTGAAAACAAACAAAAAAAATAAACTTGTGGTTTATGGGTTTGATGATTAGAAAGGAAAGAACTGAAAAGGAGGGAGCCATGAAGTAAACTTAACTTGAGATGATAAAATATAAATGCATTTATAACTGCTATAAAAAAAATTGGAAGCCTCTTATGTTTCATCTTTCTACTATGTATTCAAAATGGACAGTGATTAAGATGTATGTATACACACATATATGTTTGTATGTGTGTATGTATATATTTTTATGTATATACTAGCTGTACCCGGCCACGCGTTGCTGTGGCCCAGTCTGGTGCTTCCGCTGGGCTAAAAGAGCGAGGCTGAAGTTCCAAAGTCTCCACAAACATTTGGTGGGCGTGGCCAACTCAACATCACTCACTTTCATAAGTCACATGACAATCCCTGAGCCACGCCTACCCAGCTGGTGAACAGAGAACCGGTTTCTAAAAAACAATGGGAACCACAAAATCCTCCCTCTCTGTCTCCCCCTCTCTCTTTGTATCTCTCTATGTCTCTCCCTCTCCCCCATCTGTATCTCTCTATGTCTCTCTCTCTCCCTCCTCTGTATCTCTCTGTGTCCCTCTCTCCCCCTCTCTCTGTATCTCTCTATGTGTCTCTCTCTCCCCGTCTGTATCTCTCTGTCTCTTTCTCCCCCCTCTGTATCTCTCTATGTCTCTCTCCCCCCCTGTATCTCTCTATGTGTCTCTCTCTTCCCGCTCTGTATCTCTATGTCTCTCTCTCATCCCCTCTCTGTATCTCTCTCCATCTCTCTCTCCCCCACCCCCTCTCTCTGTATCTCTGTATGTGTGTCTCTCTCTCCCCCCCATCTCTCTGTATTTCTCTATGTCTCTCTCTCCCTCTCTCTCTGTTTATCTCTGTCTCTGGCCCGGCCTTTTCTGCATCCCCCGCCATCGCCCTTACCTTTTCAGGCCAAGCCTTCGCAGCTCTCCGCACCACAGCAGAAACTCGGGGGCCACCTCCGTCCTCCCTACACACATTTTCTCTGGGGGCTTGACGGGGAGATGCATAGCAGGGCAGAGAAGGGAAGGGAGGAAGGGAGGGGGTGTGGTGGGGGTTCGGGGCTGGTTTGGGGCTTCCCACCCGAAGGAAGAAAGTGGCAAAGTCAGGAATCACTCATACCCCACTGGACCCCTGCTGCGCAGTTCTCCTCCCCTGCCTGCCAAGGGCAGGGGAATGTTTAAATCCTACCCTCTTCCAGGAGAAACGAAGGAGGGCCGGCTATCCTCCCTCCTGCCCATTTCCGCTCCCCGGAGCCTCCCTGGAGACCCTTTTCTGCCAGAGGCCAAAATTTTCATGTAGGCTCCGTGAACTGCCAGAGCGCCCACCTGGAAATCAAAGGCGGTGCTGGTCAAAGATGACCCTGAAGCTCCAGTTGCCTCCATCTCCCGCTCACCGACTGGATTCGCATAGCGCCGGTTAGCGGCTGGTCTTTCTGACCTTGGGGCCTGTGGTAGTGCTGGGCCAGGCACGATTCTGGCCAGGCGAGGGATGGAGGGTTCCTGCTTGGCGGACCCAGGCAGCCTTGTTGCCAGGTGTTCTTTGGAGGGAGCCCCGAGAGCGGCTGGCGAGGGGGATGGGAAGCAGCGGTGGGCGAGGCTAGTTCACGGGGTGGCCAGGGGAGGTCAGAGCCAGGCTTGGGCGGTCCCCGGCCAGCCCTAGAAGCGCCAGCTGCGAGGGCTTCCCGGCGGGGAGCCGGCTGCCTACCTGCCGAGCCTGGTGGTAGGATATGGCCCTTGGGCGTCTCTGCCTTCCAAATGCGCAGTTTGTTGGAAGCAATATGGAGAGTCTAAAGGAGCAAAAATCTGTTGAGCGTAATCAGGGCTGGGAGGCTGCCATGTTGGTTTTACGTCCAGCAGATGGCGCTGCTTTTCAATGTTTGTCAATGTTTGTCAATGTCTTTCAATGTTTTCCAATGTTTTTCATGTTTTTACCTGTCACAGGTGTGACATGTATATAATATAGGTATATAAAACACACCCGTAGTCGAATGCAATGTTGTGTCAAAATTTGAAAACAATCGGTGAAGAACTTTTGGAGATGTGCAGTTATGTACAAACGGACATTTACATTTTTATTTATATAGATAGATGTGTATACAGGTAGTCCTTGACTTACAACCATTCATTAGTGACCGTTCAAAGTTACAAAAAAAAGTGACTTATTTCCATTTTTCACACTTATGCAGTATCCCCATGGTCATGTGATCAATATTCAGATGCTTGGCAACTGACTCATATTTATGATAGTTGCAATGTCCTGGGATCATGTGATCATCTTTTGTGACCTTCTGACAAGAAAGGTCAATTGATAAACCAGACTCACTTAATAATTGTTAACTTATAATTGTTAATAACAATTGTTATTAATAATTGTTAATTTAACAATATTGTTAAGTTAATAATTGTTATTAACTTAACAATTGCAGTGATTCACTTAACAACTGTAGAAAGAAATGTCATAAAATGGGGCAAAACTCACTAAATGTCTCATTTAGCAACATAAATTTTGGGGTAAATTGTGGTCATACATAAAGGATTATGTACACACACACATACACCCATACATAATGCACATGCATGTATATTACCTGTATATATGTTATGTATGGATGTGTTTGTGTGTGTGTGTGTATTTTGAGAGTGGGTGACAGAATTTCATTTTTAATATGTGCCAATGTGCACACAGTAAAAAATGACAATAAAGGTTATCTCTATATTTCATTTCTTTTCTATTTGCTGAGCACTTTTCTTTTTCTTAATTTCCTTTTTATTTTAGATTTGTATTGTTTTGGCTTGTAAAAAACTTCCTCAATAAAATTATTTTTTTAAAAAAATAGAGAAGGAAAACAATAGGAGCACATGAAAAAAGCACAGTAAATTCAATTTTGTACACCTTGTTTTTAGTGAGAAGCATATTGCATTCAAATAAATGTAGGAGCCGGTTCAATGTTCATTTTTCTTGAAATAAGAAGTAAAATAATCTAAGCCAAATTTGGATACAATCACTATTATCAAGAAAATAATAAGTACGCCCATAATACAAATCCCAAAAGTAGAAAGGAAGAAATTACTATATGGTAATCCCCAGCCAACCCTTAATGCCTTTGAAAAGAAGTCCTGATTAATAACAAAATAACAGAGTTGGAAGGGACCTTGAAATCTTAATCTTCTGTTCAAGCAGGAGACTCTATACCAGGAGTGTCAAACTCAATTTCATAGAGGGCCACATCAGGGCTATTGTTGACCTCGGGGGGCCTGACAGGTGTGGCTGACCGGGTAGGTATGGCCAGCTCGACACTGCTCACTGGGCGTGGCTGAGTAGGTGGGTGTGGCCAGCTTGATGTCCCTCACTGGGTGTGGCTGTCCATGTTGGCATGGCCAACTGGATGGGCGTGGCCATATTAATGCCACTTACTGGGCATGGCTGACTCAGGATGGAACAAGTCATACTGGCAAACTTGATGTGGAACAATTTGGTGCCCCACAACCTCCTCACCTCCCAAACTGCTGGCAGTCTAGTGCATGTGCGCACACACATACATGCATTCCAGGTTTGGTGACTTTTATCCACATAGGAAGGAGAGAGCCTTCCCTCCTAGACCAGTGTGATGATTGGCAGTTTGTAAGCTCAAATGTGGATAAAAGTCTCCAAACTTGGAATGGTGTATGTATGTGTGTGTGCACAGCACGCCAAAGGAGATCTTCTCCCAATCCCAGACATCATTGGCATTTCCCTGTCTGGTGCATCCTCCCAGCAAAG